GTGGGTGGGGAGAGGGGGAGACATTTTGTGAGTTGTGTTTGTAAATGGATAAACCAGAAACAACCATGAGGGACTTTAGTTAGGGATAACTCAGTGTGCAGTTCAGCAGCAGGCATTAGTAAGTATCCTTAGAGTGGGCTTCCTTCAAATGATAGATTTAGTGCCTTTATGTAAGTTCTGTTTGAAGTGTGCAGGCATTAAATAGTAATTCTGCATGAGGATGGGTTTTTTTCCACATTAAAAAAAATCATCACATTAGCAGAAATTTCAGATGCTCCTTCTTTAAAAGGAGATTATTCCTTTTTTTACTCATACTTAGGAATAAGCTCTGAAAAGATATTTGAGTTTTATGGCATGAAATTATTTTCATGTATTTCTCTGGACTGTAAATTCTTTGAAGGCTTCTCTCATGTTTTTTCATACATAAATGGAATGTAGCTGAGCTTTATTCATCTGAAGGTCCTAGATGGAGCACTCAGTGCCTTAAAAAGGAAGCTGAATTACACAGGAAATAAGAACTAAGCTTTCCTTTTGTTCTTGTAGGCATTCAGAGAGAAGGAAAATGGTATGTGCAGGCTAGAGCATGTATTAATATATTGATTATATAGATGAAATGAGTTTTGTAAAGGTAACTGTAATAGGTTATATTTTAGCTAAGCACACAGTAGGTAAGAATGCATTATGCTTGTTGCTACAGGGTAGGAATAAGTAAGTGTCATAACTGGATAGATATATTAACACCAGCAGCTTAGGACCTGTTGATGATCAGGGAGTCCAAAGAAGGCTGCCAACCTTTCTACTCTGTTTTTCCTGAAACATCTTTGCAGAAAGAGGACAAGGGCTGAGAGAGCACTTGGGACTCCTACGTGGGATAGTTGCGTAAATAAAGCCTTTCTTGGAATTGATGTGCCTCAGTGTTACTGAAACTACTCCATTTTCTACATAATTGCGTGATTCTAGTTATAGCTTGGGGCTGGGATTCTGTTTTGTAATTTTTTGGAGTCAAGATCTGATCAGCAGACATGGTTGAACTTTTGATAAGCCACTGATGATTACCATCTTTGCCTGCAAATGATTCTCTTTTTCCTCTTATACCAAGTAGAGATCCTCATCTGTAGTTGTTTTGTTATAATAGGTGAAGAATGTTTGCTTAACAAGTTGTCATTGCTTTTCTCTGAAAAGGAAAGGTTTTGTAATGAAACAGTTACTGAATTAAGCAGTGCTTCCCACATACCTTAGTACGGGTTTGATCTGTTTCCAGTAGTTTTGATTTTTTAAAAGTCAGGTGAGATGCTGATAATAAACTGGGAAATCAACCACTCTGTAATTGTTTGGCACTACTTAAAAAGGCACACCTCTCTCTTCTAAACTGTTACAGGATGTAATCTACTGTAGGCATTGAATTCGTATCATTAATAGCTTTTTGTCTATCTCCCTCTTGGCTCAGTCAGTTCAGATGCATGTGCACATGCGTGCATCTGTTCTCATGCCTACGCTATAAGTTTGGTTTTTTTCCCTTAAAAAGGGGACTTAGCCTATTCCATAATATACTTTGGTACTGATACTACATAGTCTGTAAAAAAGTGATGTGCAACTGTGAAGATGGCTTTGCAAGCACATGGTGAATGAAGGCGGACTGGGACCTCCATGCCAAGCTTTGCATCTCTCGGTTGAGGGGTTTGTCTTCCTAGATCTGGATCCAAGAGAGGAGGGAAAAGGAGGGGTACAAGTAGGCAGCAGAAGGGTTGGAACAGGGGGATCCCAAATTCTCTCTTTTTGAAGGAAGGTATACCTCCTTTTTGGGAACAAGGAATACAATGTTGTATGACAGAAGTATGAAATTTGGCCACTTTATGGTAACAAGTACTATGTCCTGCTTTCAGTACCAAAAAGACTGCAAAGCGGAATGTCCTGGACAGAAGTTACACCGTCAGCTTTTAAGGCACTCTGCTATCATCCTGACAGCCTTCTTAAGGGAGAGAGGAAATAATGAATGTGCCATTAGACATGCTGGAATATTGGATCGTTCTTCAGTGCTGCCTACAGTGCTGCCCGCTAGTTCCCAGGCTGGTCTCTTATATTTTTGCATTTCATCAGTTACACATTTTTAAGCTGGAAGCCTCCAAAGAAGTTGTGAGGAAGGCAAATGTGGAGCTAATCCTTTAGAGACTCTTCTTGAGTCACTTGTGAAAGAAGCAGATGTTGCAGATGTTTCTTATCCATGTTTTTCTGGTCCTTTTTTGATTTGGTTGGTTGTTTTATGTTTGTTTGGGTTTTTTGCTTTGTTTTTCTTCTGCATGTCTCTTCAGGGGTGGGTAAAAGCTTAAGGTTTGGCAGTAGCAGGAAGTTGATGTGGCATGAAAAGAAAACATGGTGTACTACTTGTATTGAAAGATAAACACTGTTCCTACTTTTTTGTATCAGCTCCTACTGCAGCGCTGTTACACCACAGTTCATTCAAATTCCTGCTAAGAGCCATGTTAGAAGTCCCAGGGCTCTGTTCCCCTGCATGGAGAAGAGCCGTGCATCCCTGTCCTCACAGTGATGCTTGTGGTCAGTCTTCAGAAAGCTGTGAGCCCAGCAGCTGGCTGCAGCACAGATCGGTTGCCACTGTCGCCTGAGGAGCAGGATAAACCCTGTCTGTGTCCCAGGGAATGAATTTGGTTTAAAAATCTGTGGGTTTAATTTACTCCCCCCACTGTGTGTTATTAATTTAATTGCTCTTCGGTTTCTGAAGGATTTTGGAGGGGGCAGGGAGGGGGTGGAAAGATCTATTTTAAACTGCCCTCTTCTTTAATTCATGTCTTGTTTGTGATGTATTTTTACCAGCATCACTTTGCAATTCAGCTGCTACTTCTGAATGTCATTTACTTGAATAAAAAAATGTAATTCCATTTCTAAGTGTGACATCAGCACTGAAAGTAGTAACTGAATCACAAAGTGCTGCATAAACATCAGCTTTCCCATGACAGGAGGGAAAGATTATGAAGTCCAGGTCATGCGGTAATGTAATACAAGTGTAGCAGAAACATTCAAAATTGCTTGTTTGCACGATTTCCCATCTTTACTGGGGAAATACCTATTTATAAATCCCCTATATTAAATAAAAATGGATGAACAGCATTTGGTTATCTCATGTTCTCTGACACTGATTTGTGGTTTTGATTGAAATCAGTAAGCCAGTGCTTCCCAGCGCTCCTTGAAGACCAGTTGCTTGTGACCTGTTAACTGTATACCTTGAAAGGGGGTTTGTTTGTTGGACTCCAGTAGGTTTTTTTCAGTATTAATACCAGCAAAAGGTTTTTTTTTCCCAAAGATTGATTGATTCAACTTAAAAGCTGATGCAGATCTCTCATCTTTTGCCTGTAAAACTGGTAACGGAAGAAATTTTGCATTCACATGTATTTCTGGTACTTTGTAAAGTGAAGTATGCAATTTTAACAGATGGACCAGCTCACTTTTTTATAGTCCCAGTTTGTCCAAAATCAAAAGAGGGACCATAAAATCATTTTGAGTAATGTGTATGCATTTCAAGTAACTACTCAGTACATGCAGGTGTAACCCCCAGTCATGCCAGGTACACACGTTATTTCAGCCTGTGAGTAGAAGCTGACAGAAGACCTGTTCATCATGTTGGCTGTTCACAGCATATGGGTTTTGTGTAAATGGGAACTAGCACCCCAAAACCTTCTATGATTACTTCTTTAAAGTTTCTTAACACCTTTTCATTTACAGCTCTTAACCTGCCTTTTGTTCATCGAGAGATCTGGGTCTTGCCTCCAGAGAACTTGTACATGACATCCTGCAATAAACCTTCTTCAAACAACAGAATACTGGAAAAGGCCAAATATCAGCAGTGCTCTGTATATATGCAATAGTGCTTGTAAAAAGCATGTGCGTAGCTGTTTATCTCGTTGCCAGGGTTGGGATCCATATGTAACTCTTTGACTGGATAGTTGTCCACAGCGCATGGGCTTAACTCCCTTGGAAAACTTCAACCACTCTTAAATTTCCTGTTAAAGCCGGTGGGGCAGAAGTTCAACTGACATAAAACTATGCTGAATGAATAAGTCTCTTTGTGGACGTCTCTAGAGAAGGATCTTTTCGGCCTTCTCTGGGGATGCCTTCATAAAAAATTAAGTTCTCTTAATGTTTTGTACTAAATCAATAAATAAGTGAATAATAGAGCAGCTGCGGATCATCCACTCTGGGACTTTCCTATACTCAAATTGCAGAAAGAGGGTAGATTTCTGATTCAAGAAGCAGATACTGCCATTGTCAACTCTTCAGTCTCCAGGCCCTTTCTTAATCCTAGTTTCTTTTATCAACAAAAGGCAACCAAATCGTTCCCTAACCCTGCCTGTCATGCCAAGACAGCAACAGAAACATGTCCTGGTTTATGTCTGTGAGGAGCAATGAGAGCGCACCCTCTTTGTGATGGTCTCTTGAGCTTTCTACCAAATCCCTAGGGAGAAGCTTTCTCTGGAGGCTTTAAACTGACCTTAATGTAAATTGAGGAAGGAACATTCCTTTAATTCCTTGGGTAGCTGCACGATGTTTATTCAGCTAGTATTGCTTTATATGGCCTGTTTATAAACTACAATTCCCAGGAATTTCCCAGGTCCTTAAAAACTTGTCTTAGTGACAAAGTAATGACAGTACAGGTCTCTGGATCAGCACATCCTGTTACTGAACAGTTGCTTTGGTATCAGTCTTCCTGTGACTCCATTGTCACTATATATCTAGCCTTCATTAGGTGGAGGAAAGCCTGGAAGTGTGAACCATGTGCACTCAAAACCCTAGAGACTTGAAAAATTAAACATACAAAGTATATACATGAAGTATAGAAAAATAATACTTGCTTTTTTCATTTCATGTTTTTTGTTTCATTTTGAGCGGTATTGTATTTGGATAATTATTCTTTTTGTAAGAAAACAAATAGAAAAAAGTATTGCAAAACAGTGACACGCTTTTTCCCTCTCCTTTAATCCCTGTTTTAGGAAGGCATGAGGTGCAGTCCTGGACAACAGCCACCAAGCAATCCTTGTGCCTCCTGTGGCAAAAAGTGAAAGTGCAGCTAATGCTAAGCATGTCTTTCATCGTTACTGTCATTTGGTATTGCAGAAGGCTATACAGCTTTTTAGCACAGCTGCTGAAACGGTAGGTTTTTGTTACACAGACTTTAATCTTCAGTGCTGTTGCTTATTTCAGTAAATACTGACTTTTGACAACTCCTCTTTGACACCTGTTTTATCATTTGGATTTCAGGTGGAGCAACTACCTTCAGAGAAAACTCATAAGTAAACTTTTTCTTGTCACTCCATATTCATTAATCCCCCCTCAACTACCCTTTAGATGCAGAGCAGAAGGTAACTAATCTATGAATTAATCTCGATTTAGGGAATCTCAGTGTGCTGACAGAAGTTGATCTACTTGGGCATAGTGTGAGAGAATGGAAAGGAGAAACACAGCAGGCCAAACATATGAGGGAGGTAAGAGTTGGATTTTAATCTCTGCATGAATATGGGGAGAAGGAGTACCTGCGAAAGGAATAACACTCCCAGTGCAAGCAGCTACCAGAGCCCATTACACTGGCTGGTCAAAAGGAAAGCAAAAGAAACAGCATGAACACAGATCTAAATTGGCATCTATGGTCATGGTGACCATTACTGGAGGCAGAGTGGCAGGGAACATGGTGGGAGCAGCAGTGCCCTCCAAAGGTCCTTGATCAGTGCTTTAAGTTAGAGCAGCACTATGGTACCCTAACTTGTGATGGAGACAGGCCTCCAGGAGCAACATGTTTCATGGCTCTCTGTTTCAGCTGTGTTAAGCCTTAGTCAACAAAGTAGGTTCAAAGAACATGGGCTAGATTTTTACTTTGCCAAAAAAAACCTTCTAGCTACAGTAGCTATACTGATGGTAGAGTAGTTGTATGTGTTAAAGCAAGCTTAAACTCAAAACCTGTCAATCAGCTAATTAACTGTGACATATCCTACTATCCTCATGGTATGGCATTTCAGATGAGCACAGGATAAATGTAGCACCAGGTCTGTATTGCTGATTATCTGATGATGGTGGGAACACTGTCTGTTATATGCTGAGAGTGATCAAAAAGGAAGAAGGGGCAGGAGATGCAACAGTAATGGGAGACACCAACTGGCCATCTAGCACTGGCAACAGCTGTGAGGTTGAACTTCAGGGTGGTGCCAATGACTGTTTAATGGATCAGCCTTTCAAGGAGCCTTTAGGAAAGGAAGCCACCCTTGCCTTTGTCCTGAGTAGTGCACAGGACCTGCCACTTAACTGTTACTTTCCAATTTCTGTTCTCTGGAACAGGAGGTAGCATGTACTTGTAGTCAACATCCTTGCATGAACAGCAAAGCAAAAAGAAAAGTTATTATACTTGCATCCACCTTCAAAAAGGGAAACTACATAAAACCAAGGAAGCATGTTAAAAAGAAGCTAAGAGACTTGAGTATTTATGGTCAGTGCATTTGACAGATATATATAGATTTAGGTCATGGTACTGGAATCACAGAGCAAATGTACACCAAGGACTTAAGAAAGGGTGAAAGGAAGCTGATATAGCTAAACAAACAGCAGCACAAGGGAGTTATGAGAGAAAAAAGAAGGTATTTTTCAGAAAGTGGAAGTTGCATCTGAATGATGAATGGAGGAAGCATCCAACTTTTCCACAATAAATGAGGAATACAGCAATGCCGAAAGTACCCAGAACAGCACACAAGGCCCAAAGGGATTTGGAGGAGCAAACAACAAAAGATAGTAAAACTTTTAATAAATTAGCAAACACAAAAAAATGAACCAGGTTAAAGCTATTATGGCAAAGAAGTCTTTCCAGACCTGCTCTGATTTGTTTGACCATGTGAATGTTTACACTAGCAGTGGTGCAGAGACTGGAGTGAGTCACTGGGTTTGGAGAGAGTGCAGAATGACCCTTAGGGGACAGTGCCAGTTTAAGGTATTTACAAAAACCATGGTGTTGGAACATCTGTGTGCATATAAAACTTACAAACACACCCTCTCATTCCCCTAGCTCCCTCTTATGAGTAGTTGGAATTGGAGTGAAATCAACATGGATGTTGTCTAAGATTTAAAATTTTTATTACTTTTTTTGGGGGGGGTGGGGTGTTTTCTTCTAGGCATATGAAGAATTGTTTTGGAGCTGTCATATCAAATACCTGCGACAAGTCAGGAGGGATAACTATTGTGTACTAAGAGCGGTGCTTTTTCAGATATTCAGCCAAGGCATACCTTTTCCATCATGGATGAGGGAGAGAGATATATTAAAGGTAAAAATTATTTCATAAGTGAACATGATTCAAGTAACCTTGTACTGAAGAAGGAAGCTTTGTTCAGTGTGAAAACTGACATGTCAGCTATGGATGTAGAGGAGAATCATCAGAATTTCAAGAGAAAATTTCCAAACTTTTTGAACTCCACTTAATGGAAAAAGTGTCCCTGATCTGAACATAACCATGTGAACATGGGTCTAAATGTAAGAAGGAAAATGAATAAACATTGGATGGCTAAATGTTACTGCCACTCTGCCATATGTCACTCCATTATCACAAAAGGATATTTGAATCCTCCACATTCACCTCCGTGCGAAGTCCTGTGACTCCCAAAGACATGGGAGCTGCTGAGCATGTTGCTGAAGCAGCAGGATTCCTGCTCTGGGCTCCAGGAGTCCAGAAGGTGGGGAGCTATAGCTATTGCTTGTTGGGGTAACTGTGCAAAGTGGAAGGTGTCTGTAATCCTAAATACCTCACCATATCTGGATGCATCCAGCTTTTCCAGAGCATGGGTTATATATTTTGCTGAGAGCATATATTCTTCTTTTTTGGTTAGCCCTGTTTTAAAAGTTTCTGAAGGACCTGGCAGTCAAACGGAGCCTCCTTCTTAACACTTTGTTGATTGAACTGTACAATCAGAGGACAGAACCACATCGTAAATTAAAATGTGTGTAGACAAGTTGATATAACTTTGTATTCTGCTTCTTGTTATGGTTATAAGTTGGTTGCCTTTATTTATTTTTTTTTTCTTTTCCCCAGCTCCCTGAAAAGCTGTTGTATTCTCAAGGTTGCAACTGGATTCAGCAATACAGTTTTGGGCCAGAAAGATACACAGGTCCTAATGCCTTTGGTAAATTGCGCAAATGCATGGAGACATTAAAGACAAACGTGAGTATTTAGGAAATGGCAGGGAGGAAAAAAACAATGAGAGATGGGTTAAGAGACAGTTAGGGAACTGCTCCTGGTAACATATTCCTATGGCAGTCATCCTTCTCCTCAGGTTTAGAGACCTGAGCTACTTGGAAGGCCATCACCTCTCCTACAGGGGAATCCAGCTTTCAGGGATCCACTAGGCTAGGTACTCAGGGTCCCCCTGCAAGTTAGGGAGGCCAGCTTCCCTAACTTGTTCTTATGTTTAAGCTGTAACGAAAGTCTTCAGGAATGTCTGGGGAGATGGGGGGATCAGTTTCTCAATTTAGTATTCATGGGTAAGTTTTTTTTTTAGTTGCAATTCACAGTTTGTTGCCACTTCAACATAAAAATGATACATGCACAAAATTAAATGAAGTTCATTTAAATCCCAGTCATTGAGCATCATCTATTATTGTGGCCTCAAAAAACCTCTCGGTAGCTCCAGATGATTCTTTTCAGGCACTGTGTTCAGGACTGGATGCTTTAAGCTTTCTGATTTGGTACCCAGCCCAACATTCTCTCCTGGAAGGCTCATTTTCTGGGTGAAAGCAATGGCTTTTGACTCCTCTAGAGCCACAGAGAGCTCAGGAGCTCTCATTATCAACTGTGAGGAGAATGAGAAATTCTCACTGCATTCATGTCCCTTACACGTCTTTGTCATGTCCCTTCTTGTGCAGCCAACTTACCTTGACCTCATGACGCAGAACACACTAATAACATACAAATTTGTACAGTTCATAGTACCATTCTAGATGGCTTATCCAGTTTGTATAGGTTCCTTCTAACTGACACACTTCTGAATTTGGCTCAGCACTTAAGAATTCAAGCTAGGACAACTTTATGATCTTGAAGATCTTTTCCAACACAGCTGGTTCCATGATTCTAATATAAATGGTGCTATAAGGGAAAATCACTGAAGTTTGGAAACTTAAGTTAAAAAACAGGCCAGGAGTCATCACTTCATCTAATCTTTGCTTATGGCTTAGTGTGTGTGTTGGATGCACCCACACAGACTCTCTGTAACTTCCTAAGGTTCTTTTGGTGGTTATGCTCTTTTCAGACTCTTTACTGACAGTAATACCTGGATTTTCTACAGTGGTGGTGGGGCACTTTTGTATAAGGGGATTACATTTGCTTTCTCATAGAATATCAGTATCTAGATGCTTGGAACTGTCTGTAACGAATAGGTTCAGCTGGATAAATGGAAACTGAAATGTGTAAGGCTTCAGATTGGTCCGTGGATCTGAAAGACCCACCTGCATATTTGCACCATCATTTAGCCACAGCAGTGGTATAATACAGACTGTCATTTTTTTCCTGTTTTGGAATTCTTCATATTAAAAAGAAACCTTAATAATTAGATTAATATTCTTTTGTTTGCTTTCCAGTGGATTGAAATAATTGCTACTAAAGATTATGAAGAAAGAGGAAACATCTGTAACACATTCTTTTCTGATGAGAGCAAGGAGTACAAAATGTATGAGGCCATAAAATTCATCATGCTTTACGAAGTTGTGGAAGCCTATGAGAAGATAAAGAACAGGGAAGAACCCATACATAGCCTCTTTAGCCTTCTCTTTGCTCGTGATTCTTCATCTGACCCTTTGAGTTTCATGATGAATCATCTGAACTCCATAGGTGACTCTCTTTGCCTAGACCAGGTAATGATGTAAATGAAAAATAAATCACAAAACTAACCCTATCTCTGTGATTAGGTGAATATATCATACATCATCCAGGATTGTTGGCCACTGTTTTCTGGGAGGGTGGGCTGGAGGGAATGGGAATGTAGGAAATGGATTGAGGATGCTCATTTACCTTTCAGAAAAAAGACTGTAGTAGAGTAAAATGGGGTGGATGATTTTTGAAATGCTTTAGGCTATCACTGAGACATCATTCAGAGCAATGATATTTTTGATGTGTAAAATAATTTCAGATTATTCAGATTTGTCCTGTTGTTCCACTTTTCCTGTCTGCTTCACCATGCCAAACACTCTATTGCTGCTTTATTTTTTTTCCCTATCTTTGGTTCTTGTTAAATCTAATATCTGTTAAGAGTAGGTAATGAGAGCTCTATTAACTGTTCACCTAATTTTATACGTAGCGAGGAGTTAAGTACTGCTAGCTAAGCTCCACACTGGCACTCTACAAATAGTTTCACTTTCCAGTGGGTGAAATTAGTTTTTACAGTCAATTTCAGTTATCAAGTTAATGGTTACATGTTGCAGTCACCTTCAGGAGCAGTTTGATTATAACTGGACAAGTTCCTCTGTCTGGCTATGCCCAAGGATATGAGGTTTTTCCAAAGCATTTTTCCAGATTAAGCAATCCTTTGCAAGAAGTGTCAATGGAGATGCCAGTTCTCAAGTTTCATATGCATGAAGTACAAGGACATTTTTAACTTTTACTGTTAAATTTCTCTCATGTGGAAAGTGATCACAAGGTGGCAGGCTTCCCATTTTTCAAGGTGCATTTATTTTAATAATCACTAGTCCCTTCTTGCTCCCTACTAAGCTGCAGGAGCTGGCTGTGGAAGCAGGTTATGTATTTTGCCAGGTGAAGGAGGGCTGTTGCTCAAGTGTGAAGCATTAATCCGAATACCCTCTTGCATGGAAAAGAGCAGTGGAAGGACTGTTGGAACATTGAGAATACCCTCAAACTTTTGTACTTTCTTACTCCACGTATAAAACGACCCCTTTTATTTCTTGTCTACCGTTTTGAAACTTTAGCTTGGATTATCTTTGGTTGAGTTTTCTATGTGTAGAAATAGATGTCTTACAGACTTTTTTCATCTTTAGGTTGAACTGTGTCTTCTTGGATACTTACTTGAAGTAAAGATAAGAGTTTACAGACTGCATAGGTTTAATACTGAGGAATTTCAAGTAAACTATCCAGATGAATACCGAAGGGAATGGAATGAGGTTTCTCTCCTGACTGAGGATGACCGCTACTATCACATCCCTGTTTTCCAAACATGAAGGACCAGTGACTTATTCCCTTTGTATAATATAGTGAGTGACCAGTTCCAGTGAATTATGTTCCTAATCAGTAGCAGTAAGATTTTGAGAATGCTCGTTAATTATAACAGAATGATTGATGCGTTTATTGTGTAAACGTTTTTCTTTACTGTTGCAGCTCAATTCATCATCAGCCAGCTATAAAACCTATAAAATATGTTCCTATACTGTCTGGGGGAAAAAGTGTTGTATTTGAGGTTTGTTAGACAGAAAAGATTGGACTGCATGACGAAGAAGGCAAAGGTAATGCTGGGGTTTCTATTGCTAGCCTGAAGGTTTACTCTGACATCTCTGGATGGGTTCCTAAACTCTAGTTCCTAAAGCAATTACTGCCTTTCCCTTGTCTGTCTCTAGCTAAGGAGCATGAATCACAGAGCAAGCAACTCCTGGGGTCTGCAGTGTATACTCCAGGCTATTAATTCTGCGTTGACTTGGGGCTAACTAGGATAGGAGGATGTAAAGTGGGGCCTCTGAGTAACTCCTCATCCCATTTGGCTTTCCTGTTGCTGGAATGCTCCCTTCAGGGATGGGCAGAGCAAGCAGCTGTAGGCTGTATTGATTTCAGAAATGTGAGATTCAGCTGTCTGCACTTAGCGCTGATACCTGAAAGTGAAGAAGTGTTACACAGGGGGAAACTCCTCAACACACTCAAGAATGCTGTGCCAGATGAACAGAAGATCTACTTTGAGGAATAGTACAGATGCTGCAGATGGAAAGCTGAAATAGAGTTAGACCTGATAACTGCCTATGGCTTTTGTCAATTTGTAAATCCTTTCAGGGCTGATTTCAACATTACTTGCCAAGATTTCCTTTGCAATTCATGCGAGAAAGCTGTGCGCAGAATGCATTCACAAACACTGCATTTTCAGAAAATATTACTTTTTATGCATTATTTGAACTCAGCAGTGTGCATGCATGTTTTATCCTCAATCTCCTTGCATAAAATGGCTATCTTCAACTTGGACCTCAGTGTTTGAAGGAAGTCTGTCCGAGACATGTAAATGAGATTTACCTTAATACAGGGGACATTTTGCTCACTTCTGTTTTCTAAAAGAATCAATTGTGTTTTGATTATTTAAAAAATAAGGGACCTTAATTTGAAGAAATATGAAAATAATGCAGCAGATCTAATAAAATATTTGTGAAAAGCTTTCAATCCTATAGGCACATGGGTGTATTAAAGAAAGGGGAGTTTATTAAGAAACGGAAATTCCCTTTTTCCTTATCCTAGAGATAAGGAGAGGAAGGTTTACTTTATAATTCGTGAAGAAGAAAATACAAGCCAGTAACAAAAATGTGAACTGATTCTGCAGGAGCTAAAGCAGTTGTATGAGGTAACTAAATGCTAATGCTTGGAGTGCATGGAGAGTGCTTGGTTCCTTTGGGTAAAGGAAAGCAGTTTTATCCCTTACAGTCCTCTTATTTGTATGTATGTATATATATATTTATAAACACAAACGCCTGAGTTCTGTATTGTGATGGGTTTGTTTCCTGAAAGTTTTTGTGCTCGGTTTTGTTCAGTAATTTGTAGCTTTTAATTAAGAAGGCTTGATATCTTTAATAACTTCATCTCATCAAAACCTGCATATGAAATACTTTATTTATTAAGAAAAAGCTTTTTTTTTTTTTTCACTGAATGAAATAATTTGTCTTTAGATTTGATTCTGCTCTGCATGGGGAAATGTTTTAATACCTGAGAGTAGGGTATTGCTATTTATTTTGCATCAACAGTAACATTTACAGCTATGGATAAACTTGGCTATATTTTATTCTTGTTTTGGTATAAGCAGATATACAAAAAAAAAGGATGTATTTTTTATAGTGGGCTTTTTAATGGTTTGCATATTATCTATGAATAAGAATACAAAAGCATTACAGCTGAAAGTGTTAAATTGTCAGAAGGTATGTTTTTGTAATCTTGAGCATATTAATAGTGGGGGTTAATAAAGATCTAACACAGACAGTGGAATTTATCTCGCCAATTTGGATATTTGCATCTGAACTAGGTCACTCTGGGCTCTCTGCCTTGTCAGTGGAAGGCAATGGCAGTCAGCCAGAGGGTGGGTCTTTACAGCAGTCTGGTTTTCCTCACTGACTGTAGTGCGGGCTGGCAGTGATCAGCATAAATCTTTCTGCTCTAGATGTTTGATGTTAGGTGAGATTAATTTTGTCCTCAGAATCCAGAAAGGACATGTTGAAACAGATCTGCTGGCTTATCAGGTGCCAGAGGTGCTGGCTGAATCATAACAGGAACGGTAGTGGGATGCGAAGAAAGAGGAACTTCAGGTGAGGAGAATCACAAGTCTTACACATAAACGCAGAGAGAGCTCTACATAGGATCTTAAGGAACACTGAGGCTATTTTGGGGCTGTACAGAGTTTTAATCAGGTTCTCTGCTAATATATTTTACATATCTGTAAAGCTAAAATATATATATATTTATATAAAAGAAATGTATATATAACATGTATGTATACATATATACAAAAGAAAAACACATATATAAAAAAAATCCTGAATAAGGTGCATCTGAAACTAACTGGTACTATGGAAACGAAAGGTACTGCTGCATCTTTTCCAGTCAATGTCACAGATGAGCTTGCTGCACATATCCAGAAGCACACAGTCATTACCAATTCTTTTTAAATGCAGTGTTTCAGGCAGCTAATGTTTCAAGTCAGGATGTGTTTATTGCTGCTTGTTCAGAAAGAAAAAGAAAACATACTGAAACCTTGGCCGTGGGTTCGTGTTCTCCCCAAACTTGGAAACGTGTGTTAGAATGTAACACACTTGAAGGAATTTGTACCTTTTATTGTCATTGAGAAAAATAATTGGTTTTGAATGTCGTCTTTTGTAAAATTTGCATTACAGTGTATGAACCACGATCCATGATTCTTTTTAACTCCAAAGAAAAATACCGGCAATGTGAATTTTTCGACTTTAATGCTGAAACTGCTTCCTGTCCAGATTGTGGCTACTAATCTGAACTGGATTAAAAATCACAGTGTAGGTGTTTGTTACCAGTAAGTCTACCTGCTTTGTTTCAGGATATAAGAGTTCAATGTCTATGGAATAGTTTTCAAATGCAGTTTGTAATTTGCCTAAAGGATAGATTTAAGGAATATGCATGATTTCAAATTATTTTAGTTGTCCAGAAAAATGAAGATACATCCACCCTTTTCAAAGATATGTCCATTCTCCTCAAAGCACAGGAAAGACATAGGGTTTTTTTGCTAGTAGTTTGATTTCCCTGTCCCTCTGTACTTTAGCAATATTACAGGGGGCCCACCTGTGACCCTGTTACTTTAATACCATTAAAGCACTAATGTTTCTTGGAGTCTTCATCTACCTGAAAAGCTCCACATTTTGAAGAAAAGGTGAAGTTGGGATTTTGGTGCCACAGAAGCTCTGGTCCTCCCTTCTTGGCTTGTGAGGGTTTCAGGGTGTTTGAAGGCCTCCCTGGCAGGAAAGAAACTTTGGTTTTGGGCCTGATTTTGTGAGAGGGCAGGATTTGGGTCTTTCAGGATTCCCTTTAAATCATTTGGGAGAGGAGCCTGGCATGGAGGCTGGGCTGAAGGGGTGCTGCTCCCTCACTAAATGGCATTCATTCCTGCTCGCAGCATCTTTTATGGTTGTTAGTCCAACCCTGATTTTGGTCAGGGATGGAGCAGACAGCTTTGCAGAAGACTTTTTGGAGATTTATCTGAAAAATTCCGTAGAGACCCATGCTCCCCAGAGCCTGGAGGTGAAGTTTCTGTTGGGCACAGGAGATAAAAGCAGGAAAAGTTATCTCCCTGGGGCTTGGCTGATTTGCATCTCTCTTCAGGAACCATGGAGCTCTGTCAGTCGGGGCCAGTGGGTGAGGAGGATGGCTGGGGCATTGCTGGGACCTGTGGCACAGGATCTTATGCATGTTGGTCAGTGCTGGTGGGAAGGAAAAATAGAAACCATCCATTTCATGACACAGATAGAGTGGGTCCTGGATACTTTCATTTTCCAGCATATCTCAGCTTGGCATAATTCAAAGGTTAATGCCTTTAGAGGGCAATTAACAAAAACATCTTCAGTGAAGTGTTTGCCCATAGATCAACTCTTAACTGAAATGTGGAGGCAACCAAGCTGAATGCAGTTGTGCACGTTTGTGTGCAGCAGCTGCTGAAGTCATATATTAGCACATACAGCAGCTAATAACTCCATGTCTTTTAAGCTAAGTTCTCATGTTCAGATGAATTTTCCCCAGGGCAGTAATTTTCAGGATTGTGATACACTGCATCTTATAGATGTTGGAAATGACAAGCTTTTGAGTTTCCAATGACAAATACAGCATTTAGCTACAAAAGATTTTGTGTTATTTTTATCTATCCAGCAGATGGCTTCCAAGCATCAGAAAATGTAGTTCAGTAAGCTCAGTTCTCCTGGCAATTCTTTGTCAGAGTTGCCCAGATGATGGTGGTGGGTTGGCCCCAGCCAACAGTCAAGCACCCACACAGATGCTGGATCACTCCCTCCCACCCCAGTGAGAGGCAGGGGAAGAAAACGGGATGAACAGGAGCAAGAAAGCTTTTAGGCCAAGATAAAAGACAGGGAAATCACTTACCATGCACTGTCATGGGCAAACCAGGCTCAGATCAGGGAATTTAACTTTATTTATTGGCAATTAGCATAAGTATTTAATTATGTATTTGGGTATTGGGAAACAAAAGATGACAAATGTTAAAACACTTAGGGGAAAAAAAGCAACCTTCCTTTCCTATGCTCAGCTTCACTCCAGACTACTCTGCCTTGTTATCAGCACAGGTCACACTCAGTCCCTTCAGCAAGGCAATGAGCTGGCAGGGTGGGGGTGACGGAATGTAGTGATTTCTCTCTGCCTCTCCTCGTTTTTCACTCTTTTCCTGTGTTTCAGTGTGAGTCCTTCACTGGATGCAGTCTCCCCTTCAAGGTGTACCTTCTCCCATGTTGGCTTATGGTACGTTCTAAAACACTTTTTAAATTACATGTAAATTACCAATTTTATAAAAGTCTATTCGGCTTAATATAGCTTCTATCCATGCTACCTGAAGGAAAAAAAAAAGTCTGTTTTTGTTGTCTTCCCTCTTTGCTCCTTCACTGTCCTACCACATGCACCTATGTTTCTACAGGACATGCATTAGAATAGAGCAAAAAAGGCCTGGAGGAAGAGGCTGAGAAGACAGGGGTTTAAAATCAATCCTGGAGCTATTCTGGACCTAACACAGGAGATAACATGGTACATGGGAGCTCAAGTAATGACTTAATGGTTAATTAAAACCAGGTTGGCAGCAGTGTGTGGAAGAAAGTATGAAAAAGACATGGCTAGGAGAAGCAAGCAAGTTCATGTAGAAAGCTCAACAAGTCCATGGATACTTTCTGTGTGTGAACTGCCAGTCTATGAGCAGAAATTTCCATTGTAATATCCACAGAAAGTGTACTTGCTGCTGCTCTTGTCCTGTTGCCTGAAACATGACATATGAATAGATCATGACTGCTGTAATTTAAGCTTCTTCACCCTTTTGAAGTAGGGGACTTCACTGCTGTGAGTGTTCTCAAGAAGTGTAAAAGTATTTCTTGCCTTTCCTGTACCAATGACTTCACTTAAGGCTTCCTCTTGTTTGTGGTCTGTGACCCCATATTTGGCTGACATTTACAGTGCTTCTGTTGCT